TAGATCCAGGAGACAACCATGTATACCAATAATATATTTTCCTTGATTTAGTTTACAGATTAGTACTAATAATACAGATATTTAGTGGGTAGGTCGATCCATAACGACCAAAAGCAAGCACCAACTAGCAATTAACAAAATGCATCATGCATACATGAATGGATGTACACGGCCTGTATATAAATATAATTTCAAGCATAGCTGAAGCTTCGTGCATGTGAAGAATCATTTTTGAATTATTATTTAGTTAGTGAACAACCATGTGATCGATCGATCAAGGTAGGTACAGTAGTGGTAGTGTTTTGTTTGGTTCACTTGTTTAAAATCCAATGCGATGCAAAAGGACGGACACGCCCACTCATTTTGACGAATCTTTGAGAAACTTTTTTGAGGCGACCAATCATCAGTTAACCAAAATGGTTCATGCATCATGCACAATAGAAAAGGATGCATCTCTGGACAGAGAAAAAAATGAATTTTGAAATAAGGAATTCCTGAGAGCTAACGAGATTCAGATGAGAGGTCAATTGCTTGCATTCCACAGCGTGATTAACAAAACGGACCAATGACAGATGCCAGTCAACTAAACAACAATGACAGGTAAATAAAGATGCAAACAACTCTGGCTATGTATCTAAATGGTGGAGACTGAAGATGTAAATTTCAGGATCATTAAGAAAGTGTTAGTAGGTATCAAAATTTTACGCTAGGCATCTCGAGGTACTTAATTAGTTGAAGGTATCAAATTTTATAAAAAAATATAGTATCTCCTGGTACCTTATGATAAAATTACCTTTTTTATTATAAAAAAATACTCATTCTTTTTATATGTACCTGTCACCATATACAATTTATAATTAAACATTGAAAGATCGTCTTTTGGGCAAAAAATATTTAATTATAAATGCTTAGAAAGATTAGTGTTCTACATGATTGGTCAATGGTGACAAGTAAAGAGGAACAGAGGGAGTGTTACTTTTACAAATTATAGTACATGTTACTTTCCTTTACCATTTCAAAGCAAAAGGACCTTGTATGCATACACAAGGGCAGGCAATCCTAGGACTGGCAACTCGGATTCCTCTCCCATGTCCGTCCCTAACGTAGGTCACACATTGGACACAACAATCAATTGCACACTACAAGCACCCTAGTAACAGAAAGGAGAAAGTTTTGTGTGTCATTCGATGTTGATGTGCATGCCCCATACATCATCCATTGGCCATGGCCATGGGCCCAAAAGGGAAGAAAGAAAGGAGGAAGGAAGGAAAGAAAGAAAATGGCGTCGCTTTGCGTGTTGTTGTGCATGTGGTAAGGAACCTCATGAGCTCAATAATGGCCAATTGGCCATTGCAAACATGGCAAAGCTAGAGAGAGAGAGAGAGAGAGAGAGAGAGAGAGAGAGGAAAAGGAGGAGGTTTGCATTTTGCTCTCACTCACTCACTCACTCACTCGATGACAGTAGCGTACTAGTCACCGGGATGCTGCCATGCTAACAACTCTTGATCGATGGATGATGCATGCTTTGGTAGCTAAACAATGCAATTATCAATCGGTTTAAGCACCCCTCAACAACCCCCCCAAATACCACACGCTGATCCTGTCCTGCACTGATCTTCTTGGTCTTCTCTTCTCTCAAGGGCACCTAACTGACCTAACCATCACTCTTTCTGCTCGGCTCTGTTTCTGCTTCTCATTTCTTGGACTAGCAGCTGGAAAGGTCAAACGTTTCAACATGCCCCTCACGTCTCACCGGAAAGCTAATTAAGAGAGGCCAACCGGTTGGTTTAGCACATCATTTAGGTACTACTCCAAGGCCCTGTACTTTCATGATTATGGTTTTTCGTTCACATGTTTTCCAAACTGTTTATCAATGCTTTCATAAAATATTTCGTACAAACTGTTAATTCATTCGTTAAAACCCTCAAATAACCTAAAAAATAAAACCAGATAATCCAGCAATTACTATTGTAACCTCAGAAACTTTAACAAAATTGGAAAAAGATGTAGTAGGGACAGACGATGACGCTAATTAGCATGGAGTGCAAGATTCAGCTGAAATTTGGCAGGTTTTCGGGTGTAAAAACAAACTCGGACTCAACGACGACGCTACGTTATCAGATCACTAGAGATCGATACACACAAAGGAAGAGGACACGAGCTGTGTGCATCACTGAACAGACTCGCTTGGAAATTTTTGCACAAGGGTCCAACAGCAATGGACTTTGTCGCGGCAGGCAACGACGGCGACAGAGACAGCAGCAGCTTGCACTGCTCACCGGAATGCCGCCGTGCGGTGGACTCAAAGGCAAAACTCGATCGATCGATCGTTCGTTCGTTCGTTCAATTAGTCCGTCCTAACTCGACAGCGATCTCAGGGGAGGACCACGGCCAGCTAGCTCCTAAACTACTTGACTCCCCGATGTTTATCGTGTTGTCAGAAAACGCCGTCTTCGTTTTTAAATAATTGTTACAGTTTATCAGGCTGAGTTTTTTTTATTGAGTTTGAGAACTAACCTCTTGCAAACGCAAAACGGAGTAATTCATTTGCACATATGATTAATATAAATATTAGCTATTATTTAAAAAAGTGGATTAATATAATTTTTTTAAGTAACTTTTGTATAGAACTTTTTTGAAATAAAATCCGTTTAGCAGTTTGGAAAATATGCGCGTGAAAAAGAGAGATATAAGTTACGAAATATGTAATATGGATGATGGATAGGGTGTTTTAGGAAGATTGAGTGAGGGAGTGTGGTAGTAGTAAGAGCATCTCCAATAGTCTCTCCAAATCAAACTCTCCAAACACTCATATAGTCAACTCTCCATCTGATTTGGCTAGTTAAACTAGTTATTCACTTCAACAGTCTCTCCATCTACCCTCTCTATTACAAGTCTATTACAAATAGGACCCATATGTCAGTCTCTACTACTCTTCTTCCTCCTCTTCCAACCCATTTTCCCCACACATATATTTCCCTTCCTCCTACTGGACTATTGCATCATCCCCACATCATCTTCTTTGATACGGCGACGGCGGACAGCGGGCACGTGAAGCGACGACGGGCCGACGGAGAACAGCGAGCGGCGGTGGCGCCGAGCCTCGCCGCGCGGAGGCGGCGGGTGGCGCCGCGTGGAGGCCGGCGGCCGTGGCGAGCGAAGGCGGCAGGCGGCGCCACGTGGAGGCTGGCGACTGGCTTGGTGCGGCGGCGAAAAGAGGCCGGCGGTCGCCGTGCTCGTCCTCATGCTCGTGCTCCTCCCGTGCCTCTCCTCGGTTGCCGTGTGGGGATGGAGGAGATTGGCTGTGTGGGCCCACCATTGGCTAGCCAAATAGAGTGGTCAAATTTGGCTAGTGGAAGGAGGGTTTTGGCCAGCTGGAAGGCTTAGCCATCTGGTTGGAGAGGCTGTTGGAGCGCTTTTTAAGCTAGAATAACTAAAATTTGGCTTGAAGAGTGGGATGTGGAGGCTGTTGGAGATGCTTTAGGACCTTGAGTTAGGTAGCTCAAGATCATTCCATTTGTCCATTTTCAAATTTTTCAACCATGCGAAGTCACCCAATTGACTTGGAACTAGTGATTTCCATCGGTTTCAGCTCTGTCCTCCAACATTACGGTTTCGTTCGATTCAGTAGTTTGGCTGAGATGATAGACATTATAAAAAACGATTTGAGTCAATAGTACATGATTAATTAAATATTATAACATTAAAATTGTATTTATTTAATTTTTTAAAGAAACTTCTATATAGATGTAGGAGCAGATATTTTGAGGTAAAAATTTAACTTGCATTATATAAAGCTAGATTATTTTTTAGTACAATAGATATAGCCATAAATCTCAACCTTCAACAACATTGAACTTTTGAACCAAATTTCAAACCTTTTGGCACCAGGCCTAAAATGAACCAATTCATAAAACAAAAAGATCGTACAAAACTTGTACATGGCAAACGTTAGCGGTGAAAACGATTCGGATAATATCTGATCTGATCCGCTTCGAATCCGTCCGAAACGAGGATATAGTATGGGCTTTTAGAAATCCGGCGGATATCGAATCCGTCCGAAACGAGGATATAGTATGGGCTTTTAGAAATCCGGCGGATATCGAATCCGTCCGAAACGAGGATATAGTATGGGCTTTTAGAAATCCGGCGGATATGGATGCGGATATGATATCTCTAAAATCCGGCGGATGCGGATTATCCGACATTTTTATCGGATTATCCAATAAGCTGTTTGCCGAATAATCCGAAATTATCAACATATATAACCACTCTATCTATTGCATATAACATAAGTTGGTACATCCAATACCCTAATTCATCAATTAACAAAGATTTTTTAGTCTAAGGTTTTTATCGTCTCATGTCACACTCACGTAGCTATATTTTTTATATTATGAACATCATGTGTTTATGTTGTTTAGCACTTAATCATATAATTATTACGATGGATCATTTATTGATTATTGTATCGTTGTTCCTTGGATTTCTAACTGGATGTTGCATTGATCGCATATACACGTAGCATCCGATAAATTTAATCTGTTTCCGAACTGATTCCACACTGACTCCGCACCATTTCTGACATCTGAAACAATCCGCTCCGCATCCGCATCCGTACATTATTTGCATCTGCTCCGAATCCACTCAAAAAAAATATGGGTTAGGATATAGTATGACCACTATCCGTTCGAATTCGCTCCGTTTTCACCCTTCGCAAACGTGCCCTTAAGACATTTTGTCTCAACAAAAAAAGCGCGTGCAAGTCAGTGGCGACGAAGATATAGCAAAAATATCATGACGCAGTGTGAAGGGAGAGCATTAACTAACTAGCAAAGAAGAAAGAAGAAAAAAGTTTGGCAGCAGGGACCTTGTTGCAATAAACGAAAAGTCTAGGTTGTTTGAAGCAAAAAAAAGGCCCTTCCCCCCGTGACGACTGACGACTAGTACGAATCGCGCGTCTCCTCCTCCTTCCCTTTTATAAACCGGCAACTCGGCTCGGCGAGGCAGTCAGTATACTCTCACTCTGTCTCCTCCCCCGCGTCGGTCGCTTCGCTTCTACTGGAGGAGAGCAGAGGTGGTGGTTGGTGAGAGAGGATGCGCGGCGGCGGCGGCGGCGGCGGCGGCGGCGGCGAGGAGGCCGGCCAGAAGCTGAAGAGCATGGACGTCGACAAGCTGGAGAACGGCGGCGACAAGCCCGCCCTCAAGTACCACGGCTGGAGGGCCATGCCCTTCATCATAGGTACGGCGAGATCGCCGATTCGATCGTTTTCCCCCTCCGGCGGCGCCGGCGAGCGGCGATCGGCGGCTGATGGAGGTGTGGGGGGTTTGGGTGTGCAGGGAACGAGACGTTCGAGAAGCTGGGGACGCTGGGGACGTCGGCGAACCTGCTGGTGTACCTGACGCAGGTGTTCCACATGCGGAGCGTGGACGCGGCGACGCTGCTCAACGGCCTCAACGGCACCACCAGCCTCGCCCCCATCATCGGCGCCTTCCTCTCCGACGCCTACCTCGGCCGCTACCTCGCCCTCGCCATCGCCTCCGTCGCCTCCCTCATCGTAAGCCCACCTCCCCTCCTCCTCCGCCGCCGCCGCCACGCATTCGCCTCCCAATTCGAGGCCGGGCTTCGAATTTTGAGGCGGATGTCGCTGCGATTTGGGGGCGGCGCGATTTCGCTTCTCGGATTCAGATTTGTTTTTTTTTTTAAAAAAAAAAAGAAAATCGGGAGTTGGTGGCCTCTGGCTTGTCAGTAGCTCGGTTGGGTGTTGGACTTTCGAGTTGGCCTCTTTTTTGTTATTCTTATTTTTATTTTTCTTTTCTCTGCGATGGAAATGGGCGGCAAAGTGAGCGAGGAACCACGTGCGCTTGTGCGCTCGTGATTATTTTTAATTAATTAATTCACGGCGAATGTGGATTAGAAGAGTTCAATCCTTAATTATTTGGGCGGTAAATTGAAACGACATTAGTATAATTTAGTTCTGTGGTGAAATTTATATCCAAATTTTTGCTGGAAATAATGGGTTAATCTGCCAATACTAGTAGTAGCTTTCCCAAAGAGGCGGCGGCCTACATCGGTTAGCCTCGTGCCCTGCATTATCTGCTCCCCTTTTGCCAAAGCGGCACTTTGCAGCGGCGCAGTGGCTCATGATTAGCGCTCTTCTAATCCGTATTATATGCCCTATAATCCACTTTTATCTATCTTTGTGGGCAGCAGTATTAATTCTGCCCACACTAGCAGCTGGTTTTCTTTTTCTGATAACCCATGTACAACAACAACACATCATCAGTCTAAGCTAGTAGTTGTTGCATGCTCACCCTAGTTTTCTTGTAAAAGAAAAAAGGTATGGCCTATTTGACGTGGACATATTTACAATTATATGTACAAATATATAGGAGTAGTACACCTAGTTCTGTTTTGAATAGCTTCAGCTACACCTCTATTGTAGTTGGAGCCCAGCTAAAGTTTCAGCTCCATCTAAAATAGGAGTGGGGTTGGGTAGAGCGCTCTCACAAAATGATCTAAAGAAGTGGAGCTGGGTTTAGACCGATCCACAACTCCACTTCAGACCCAACTCCTGAAGCTAAATTTATAAGTTTGAGCTCTACCAAATAGTCACTTAGGTTGTGTTCGTTAGATGGGGTTGAGAGTTAATCTCCCGTGCACGGAAAACAGAGTGGTTTATTAGCATATGATTAGTTAAGTTAACTCTTTTTATTAGTTATTAGCATATGATTTATTAGTATTTTTCTAAAAAAGGAATAATATGATTTTTAAAGCTCTTTTTCTAAAAAAGAACTTTTGCAAAAAAAATGCATTATTTAGGAGTCGAGGCAGTTGGCTGGGTCTGTATTATTTGTGGATCTCACGTCGCTAATTTTAAGTTTTAAACATAGGAAACTGTGTTTGTAAGGGAACTTGTTGAGCATTTGGATTGGGTTAGTGGATCATCTCGATCTGTGCTGAATCCTGAAGTGGACTCGCTTCCTCTCCTCAGTTTGTTTAACCTTTCGCCTGTATTAATTTCAGTACAAAAATAACATGGGGACCAAACGGTGCCTTGGCTTGCCAGGCATGCAACACGGATAATTTTCAAGTTTTAATTAACTCTGTTCAACAATAATAGTACTACGTAGTACAGGGGCTTGGTTGGTGAGATGCAGTGTCCACTGTCCAGTTCAATTTGTAGTTGTGTTTTGACTTGAACGGTGTCTTTTTCTAAGGCCAAACTCTGGAAGGCCGTAGCACTGAAATCCCAAGATCCAACCTGGTTACATTATGTCATGTTTTCACACTGATAATAGTACCTGATTAGACTATCAAGACACTATTAGTTAGAACGGGGAAATCTCTTGCGTTTTGTTTGGATTTGCAGTAATTTTGTACGGTTCATCTAGTAGGAGTACAAGTGCTAGAATCTTGGGGGGCCTAGGCTAAGCATAAGAACTTTCTGCTCTGTGCTGTGCTGCCAAGTGCAAAGTGCAATGAGATGATGAACAGTGGCAGCCATTGAGGCTGAAGTGAGGTTGGGGATCCGGCCATCTTATCCGGACAATCTGTATGGAGGTGACTGCCAACTAACTGCGCAAGTGGGGTAGTGTCCTGGTGTGGCCATCGACATTGACCAGCTAGCTAGCTCACCCCCAATTCCTGGAATATATCAGCATTACTGTACACCATTAGTACTTAGCTGCGCTTGCATTTCGGTACACCTGTACAAAAAAATCAATTAGTTTCTCGCACTTGCTCGCACGAAAACGATATGCTCCCAAGTGAGAGTCAGTGCTGCCATCCAAAGCTCCAGGAATTGACTAGTGAGCTGCCCACGTCGCGGCATCAATGTCACACCACCTCCCTAACCATAACCAACCTGACTATCACCAACCACGTACTAGTACTAATGACGTAGTGTAATCATGAGCCCCATTTAGGTAGTAGTACTAAGCGTGTAATAGTATGGTTTGATAGCGAGAGCCACTTCTGACGAATGATGCTTGCGCCGCTGGTGCTCGTGGGGGCGGTGGGCCAGCTGCTTGATTCTGAAGGTCACTTCTATTGGAACGGTAACATAATTTTATATTGGATAATTTTTTCAAATTTTATGTTATTATTTAAGTAAAAAAAGGATCACACAGCTGATAATCAGCCATAAGAGTGTTCAAATCATCAGATTACAAATTTAATTTAAACAGTTTTCCCGGTTTGTGTGCTGTGCTCGCATGCATCTGTTGTTTTGGGCCGACTGGTTGTGCAGACAGAACTCGGCCCAACTAATGGCCCATTTAAGTTCACATGGGTTATTACACGAAACTCAAAGCCCATAATCATCCAATTCAAAGGCCCTCGTTTTTCGCTTATGCTTATAACTTATCAACTAAAATTTGAATTTTCAATCTTAAATTTGAAGCTGATTTTGAGGTTTTCTCATCGAAGTTTATTTTTCAACCTTTGCTTTTAAATCGCTAAGAACAAGTATATAAAAGTTTTATTCACAAATTACTTTTCGTTTGCAAAATAACGATGGCTCCAATGTACTAACGCATGGTTTCCTTCCAATGATGGACGGACAGGGCATGTTCTTGCTGACGATGACGGCCGCCGCGGACGGGCTGCACCCGGCGGAGTGCGGGGTGGGGGAGACGTGCTCGAAGGCGACGTCGGGGCAGTTCGCGGTGCTGTTCATGTCGTTCGCGTTCCTGGTGCTGGGGTCGGCGGGGATCCGGCCGTGCAGCATGCCGTTCGGCGCCGACCAGTTCGACCCCCACACGGAGTCCGGCAAGCGCGGCATCAACAGCTTCTTCAACTGGTACTACTTCACCTTCACCTCCGCCATGCTCGTCTCCGCCACCGTCATCATCTACGTCCAGAGCAACGTCAGCTGGCCCATCGGCCTCGGCATCCCCACCGCGCTCATGCTCCTCGCCTGCGTCCTCTTCTTCATGGGCACCAGGCTCTACGTCCGCGTCACCCCCGAGGGCTCCCCCTTCACCAGCATCGTCCAGGTGTTCGCCGCCGCGGCGAGGAAGCGGTCGCTCAAGCAGCCCAAGGACCCCAAGCAGGACCTGTTCGACCCGCCGCACACCAGCGCCATCGTCACCAAGCTGGCGCACACGGACCAGTTCCGGTGCCTCGACAAGGCGGCCATCGTGTCCGGCCCCGACGACGTGCGCGCCGGGGGCGCCGCGCCGTCGAACCCGTGGAGGCTGTGCAGCGTGCAGCAGGTGGAGGAGGTGAAGTGCCTCATCCGCATCGTGCCCGTCTGGTCCACGGGGATCATCTACTACGTCGCCGTCGTGCAGCAGTCGACCTACGTGGTGTTGTCCGCGCTGCAGTCCGACCGACACCTCGGCCGGAGCTTCCAGATCCCCGCGGCGTCGTTCACGGTGTTCGCCATGCTGGCGCAGACGCTGTGGATCCCCATCTACGACCGCCTCCTCGTGCCGCGCCTCCGCAGGGTCACGGGCAAGGACGAGGGCCTCACCCTCCTGCAGCGGCAGGGGATCGGGATCGCGCTGTCGACGGTGGCGATGGTGATGTCGGCCGTGGTGGAGGACCGGAGGCGGCACATCGCGCTGACGCAGCCGACGCTGGGGACGACCATCACCGGGGGCGCCATCTCGGCCATGTCCAGCCTGTGGATGGTGCCGCAGCTCATGGTGCTGGGGCTCTCGGAGGCGTTCAACCTCATCAGCCAGATCGAGTTCTACTACAAGGAGATCCCGGAGCACATGCGGAGCGTGGCCGGCGCGCTCGCCTTCTGCAACCTGGCGCTGGGGAACTACCTCAGTGGGTTCCTCGTCACCATCGTGCACCGGACCACCGGCGCCGGGAGCAACTGGCTGGCGCAGGACCTCAACAAGGGGAGGCTCGACCTCTTCTACTGGATGATCGCCGGCATCGGCATCTTCAACATCATCTACTTCATGATCTGCGCCAAGTGGTACAGGTTCAAGGGGGCAGCCGCCAACTGAGATGCAAGTGAAGTGAAGTTTGTTCGTTTGGGTGGTTAATTAATTATGTCAATGGCAGATAATTAATTGGTGGAGTGCTTTTAGCTGGGTTTTTTTTTTCTGCCTCATCATTTCTCTCTTGTATTTTTGTATCTGTGGTGTCTTGAATTATAAAATCTATAGGATTAAGTGGGTGAGGAAAGAGAAGGAAAGAAACAAAAGGGTTGGTTTCTTGTAAGTGGTTAAAATTCAAAGATAAATGAATCTTCAATCCTAGTAAATCGCTACTTGCTGTTTGACTGATTCACAAGGAAGTAAATGAAATAGTTTTGAATGAACCTTCAGGTTTGCTGTTTGCACTTGTATGACTTTGTTTGCCTTTTCCTCTTCATGCAGCCACACTCCATCAGAGTTCAACCTGGTCTCAGATACAATAATTTCATACTCAAAGCGTCAGAAAATCACAATTTCAACAGAGCTCTCTTCTTGCATAGCACACAATTCAATCCTCTGTGATATCAGATCCTCTGTGCTGGCATAAGAAGATTGCGTAATTAAGGCGTAGTAACAACTCGCAAGTGAGGCGACCACCTTTAAAACCTAAAGCTTCTGCAAGTGCAAAGTTACCGGCGGGGGGAGTTTTTGTCACCACAAAAGAGATGTACAACCACATTCCATGAAGGTGTACAACCAGACACCTGGATACCCATCACACAACTATACTTCTCCGGGCAAAAGACGGGGAAGAAAAGAATACACAACTATTCTCTTCTCCTATCTAACAGGGTGAGGCATTCTGACAACACCCTTACACTGTTTAAATTGTAAGAATCTCTACCAAAGAAAAAGAACGACGACTTAAGGCGAAGCAGATAATTACAGGGTGGAACAGAGCTAACCAGCTCACTCATTTTTTTTGTTTCCATTCTGGATGGATTGGCCTAATCATGTTGATAAAGATCTAGATAACAATCTACAAAAATGCTACCAGGATTGACAAATGGAGCTTCAAGTCAAGTGACAGTCAGAAGGTTGTTTTCATGCCCGTTATTGCTCACAAGGGGGCGCAGAGGATCATTCCTCCAAACACCATCAACAATAAATTTAATCTGGAGAATAGGCAGAGGGGCTATCAGATGAGATGAAAATAATAATGCCTGGAAGCATAATAAGACAGACCATTACCTCATATCTACCAGGATACAACCTCAGGTTTAAGGAAAAGGTGCCTCTTTCTGATCTTTCCATTCTTCTCTGCACAAAGTCAACAATGTTATGGAATTAGATTATCATCAGATTTCAGATGATAAAAAAATGTACACACAACACTTATTTAAAAAACTTTCCAATTTGAACATATAATAATAGGGGCATTTGCAAATTTGCCACCGGTTTTTTGAATATTGCAAGGATACCACTCGAATGACAGTTCTAGTGGCATTTTTGCAATTTTCTAGTGGCAGTTTTGCAATAATGATTCAAAGTAGTGGTAAATTTGCAATTGCCCCATAATAATAAGCATAACAAGGTAACAATGCGAATGTTATCAAGCATGGAAGTACAGAGCTATGTAGAGTGTCAGATTGGCTTCATTAACATTAAAATTATATTATATGAAATACAAGTGCTTGTTACATCGAATTGCCAATTACGATTCAAAACCAGAACCAGTCAGGTATGATGCAGTTATGCCTTCTGGACCAAATCTACTTTAAGCAAGTGCAGGACAATCTGAATTGTTCAAGCCATTCCCACTGAACTTCAAATACTTAAATGGGCAAAATCAATGATATCCATATGAGGATTCTAAACCTACTAGCCACATAGACGCATGATAGTTATTTTTCATATTATCTTTCAAAATTAGCACCACATGGCAGAACAATCATCCTAAGCCTTAGCGAAGTTCAAATATTACGAAAGGTAATCGAGAGCTGGTTGAAATGTTCACCTGGCTTGTCCAGCCATCAAAAGATCCAGTCAATAGAACCTCTGAAGCAGGATTAGACCACACAATATAAACAGTACGGAGCTCACTCAAGGCCTTCTCAGCTTCATCAAGCCTTCTTTGTTTCTCTTCAATTATTTTGTTCTTCTCACTGATGACATGGTATACAATTACTAAAAGGGAACATACAAAATTTAAAGCATAGGTAATCAGATATTAGGTGGACATACATTATCTCCAGTGCCATCTTTCCTTCTAATACTGCTATTTTTGCACGGATTGACCGCAGCTCTTCCTGAGCTTGCATTACTTTGGTCTCTTCAAATTCCCAATCGTCGGAGAGCCCATTTGGTGCTTTTGCTCCGTCACCTTCGGACTGGAAAAAAACAACAAAGTTGGATGCTTAGAACAATGAGTACAGTGCCTCTGGCAAGATCAAGGTGAGAGGCACAAAGCACAACTTCATCCACTAGTGTTTCATGTATTTGTATGCCCTGTAACTGCCATATTGCAATACAAAAGTAGCTGCCAGATGGAAGTGTTGCTAAATATACATTATAGTTAAAAATTACAATATTATGAACGAAATTTCAATGGAAAATCAAGTCATATCATTTCCACGTCTCTAATCTGCATTTTAATCAGGAAACTGCAAGTTAAAAACTCAAAATACATTTTTTTATTGCACACTTCCCGAGAGCATAAAGCAGATGGAGTATTAGACATACAAAAGTTTAATTAAATAAATGGAACTATCTTTCTTCTTTTGTTTGTGTGGCAGCAGAATTTTTACGTAAAACTAACAGCTTTACAGATGCAGAAAAAACACTTCGTGCACAAAAAATTATAGTCCACTAGTAATTCACAACAAATGAAAGCAAAATTGATGATGTTAGGGGAAATATACACACCATATCTGATATAACCTTGTCGAATCTTGATCTTAATGTATGAAGAGCGGCAGTAAGATCCAACTCCAAATTTTGAAGGCGTGCATGTATATCGTCTCTTTCAGAGTCTACATCATTAATATCATAATCATGTACAGCCACACCATTAGATGGCCCGTGCACGTCATCTTGTGCAAGAATGTCTAGGCCATCATGTCTAAATGATTTCCTGCTGTTAGTTGAATGGATTTCAGCAGCTGCAACAATTGACCTTGTCAACAAATAATCATCAAACAAATGGGATGCAGTACGGAAGAAAGTTAGTCATATGACCTTGAAAATCTGAAAAACCACCCTTGTCAAGGGACCATGTTCGCCATGCATCATTAGTCAAACTCTTTGAGCTTTTGTTATGTTCTAGTGCTCCATTTTGAGGATGATAACTATGTATATTTCCATTATCAGGTACCTTTGGAGTGTACCTGCCACCAGTTGCAGAGTGACTGGGTGCTCCACTCTGACCCATTAAAGCTGCATATATGCAACACAGAAGGATGATTTCAGTTATACACATTATATGCAAATACAAACTAGAAAAGGAAGTAGATAATACATCCAAAAGGAACACCACAAATATGTACAAACAAGTTATCCAATAACGACAAACCAAAAGTTCATTAATAATATTGTAAATTGTGGGGTGTATAATCACTTCATATTTCGTTTTACTTCATTTACAATATTGCCAATTACAATGCATGATTTAATCAGTGATATCAGTAGTCAAACATTCAATTTCACTTCTCCTATTTATAAGTTTCTAGTGGGTGACATAACTGTCGTTCGATGATACTAAAAGTGAACTAAGACTACCATGAATGTGCGATAATCGATAAAATACCTAAAACATGGTCAATCTTAGAATATAACATACATGCACACACTACATTTGAAGTTTAATCATATGATGTTTGTTTTACTATTACTCTTGATTGTAACTGGTGTTAAAATCAGAAAGACACATCACTGTGAAAAAGGCAACTTTTGGCCCCCTGTGCAGCTATATGTGGACAACTGATAAGCAACTATTTTACTAGGTACTCCCTCCATACTCATAAAGGAAGTCGTTTAGGACAGCGACACGGTCTACAAAACACAACTTTGACGTCTTGTTTCTATAAAAATATTTATTGAAAAGTGATATATGTATACTTTTATGAAAGTATTTTTCAAGACAAATCTATTCATATAATTTTTAGATTTTCAAACTCAACAACTTGAGAATTATTTATGATTTATATTCCCAAGGTTTAACTTAAACATTGTCCTAAACGACTTCCTTTATGAGTACGGAGGGAGTACTCAAGAGTGAAGAATTGTAATGGTTGATTTAGGAAATTCCCTACTGGAGGCAGAAGTAGGGAAGGTTTGTGGACAAGACCGTCATCCGCAAAAATCAGACGGCTTGGATAAACTGACATGAATGCCTCTTTTTGCCAGCAAGGAACTGCAGTACTGCACTGAATAGGAGCCAGCCACGATTCCACAAGCTGTAACCATGGGGGCAACAAGTGCACTGATACACGGACTAATCATCTCAAATGTAGTCAGATTAATGCTATCATCTCAAATGTAGTCAGATCAATGCTATCATCTCAAATGTAGTCAGATTAATGCTTCCCTAGGGACACGTAAAACTATTTTTGCGAAGCAAGTATATATGATGCACAATTGAAAACAATTGATGTTTCTGAAGAATATGCTGGGAATTGAAAACCCAACGCACCAACATTGTCGCGTTCCCCTCCCGCTCCATCGCTGCTCCGTGGGAGCGGCGGCCGGACCCTCTCCCTTTCCCTCTGCAGCCTGGTAAGCATCCCGTCCAACCCAGTCCCAAATTTCGTCTCCCTGCAAACCACCGCGCAAGCAAACGAACACAATCAGGAAGAAACGAACACCCCAAGGGAGCAAACAGAGCAACGATGCCGAGCAGAAACCCACGTCTCCTCCTCCTCCGTCTCCGGCTGGCGCCCGGACGGCGAAGCTTCCGCCTCCCTGAAACGCACGGGAATTTCAGCTGGAATTCATACGGGAGAGGGGGGCAAGGAAGAAAATACCCCAGTAGAAGGGAATAGCAAAACCCCACCTGGACGACGCCCACACGGCTCCCTGCGCTAGGTCGGAGGCGCCCCCCGCCGCCGCCGCCGCCCCCGCCTCGGGAGGGTAGTCAGGGTGCACGCCGACCGACGAGGAGGCCCTGCCTGCCTCCGCGCCACCGGAGGACCACCCGAGCGAGAGCCAGCCGCCGCAGGCGTCCACGGCGGCGGCGAGGTCGGCCCTCCCCGCGGCGACGAGCTCGGCGCGGGTGGGGAACGCCCCCGGCTTGTCGGACCGCCGCATGAACTCGTAGATCGCCTCCTCGAGGTCCTCCTCCCCGCGGGCCGCATTGGACGCCGACAACGTCCTCCTCGGCGCCCGCGTCTGCGTCGGCGCCGCGCGCTGGCGACGGTAGACGCGGCGGCGGCGGTGGTGATGGTGGTGGTGCGGCGCCGCGGCGGCGAGGAGGACGAGGCGTCGGCGAGGAGCGGAGGCGGGGGCTAGGGTTAGGGTTGGGGAGGGGAGAGGAGGAGGAGGGGTCACGGGGAGGGGGAGGAGGAGGGGGAGCATCGCGGTCGCATTTCGGTGCTGCTTCTCCGCGGGGGGGGAAACGCGATGGGTTGGGCGGGAGGGGGGAGGCGACGACACGAGAAAGATGAGGAGGAGGGGGGGAGCGAGACGGCCAGCCACTGCTGCCACCAGTGGCGACTGGCGACTGGCGAGCGATCCCTCTGACGCATGGGGCCCTGGGCAACCCAACCCCTGTTGCTCCTCCCTTCTTGGACCTTTCTGCACTGCAGAGTGCAGATCCCAATTTGGCAATTTGCAACCTTAGCACCGCGACCTGCTCAGGTGGCTACAGCTAGTAGCCTGCGTTTATGCCTGCTATTGTACAACTCTATCCGTCTCATTTTAAGTGCAGCCGTGAATTTATTTGTTTAATGTTTGACCGTTCATCTTATTTTAATATTATCATTATTATCAGATAAAAAATATGAATAATACTTTATACTCCCTCCGTCCCGAAATATAGCAACCTATGACTAGATGGGACATCACCTAGTACGACCTATGACTAGATAGGACATCACCTAGTACGACTTATGTCCAGATACATCGTACTAGATGATGTCTCATCTAGTCATAGGTTGTTATATTTTGGGACAGAGGGAGTACATTACTTAAATTTTAAACTTTTTCATAAATTTTTCAAATAAGACGGACAGTAGAACGTTGGATTTAGAAATACACAGATTTAAAATGGGACGGAGGGAGTAGTAGTAACAGAGTAGATATGCGCAAACAAGGAGCATGTGACTGATGGTTGGTCCTTTGATGCGACTTGGGATTTTGTGGATATGGAGGAGACTGTACAATGTGCCATCGTGGCGTTCTCTCCCTATTTTGATAGGGAACGAGATCATATATGCTACATTATTTGGATTTGAGTCACTAATATATGGTTTATTTATTATGATTTATGTGTAAGTGATCTAGAGTCACCTGGCATCATGGTAGAGAATCCGTGTCTATTTGATTGAGCTAAATATGGTGATGGCGGTGACTATGGCAATGAAAAATGATGTCGGTGGTGAACTGGTGATGGTAATAAATAGAACTGCCTGTGTTTGTAATTTAATGACATGACGTGCAAATTTGTATTGTTGGGTTGTTTTGTTCCAGTTGTGTGAATGTAAATAGCGTTGATGGAGAAAATATAATAGTGTAGTAAAAAAGATTTCATTTCGAAATTGATTTGGACTACATTGAAAAGGCTCATTTGTGACATGTGAAAGGGAACACGGGTGGTTGCTATATCCGAGAGATAGACACAAACACCTATGGGTATGTCCATACCTCTCACATCCTTGTCATCGTACGCCCGACAAATATAGGACAACATCAACCTCACATCATCGATTCGTTGATAACTTATCGTAAACATTTGAGAAATTTTTCAGTGAGCATAAAAATGCACATCTCCGATGATATTCAACATTCTCCGCGGCTTGTCTGATTGGATTGCCACGCAATTCGTTCAAGCAGAAAACGGTGACAGCTTTGACAGTGAGGAGCATATGACAAAAAGGCCAAGAGGCAGACACTTCCGTTTTGTTATTATGGGCTGAAGAGAGAATAGAGAAAGCTGGAAAATCACAGCTATGGAGGATAGCCGGTGCCAATTATTTCATCGTTGGTCGAGACGGTTACTGGTTACTGGATGCATGAGAGGCCATGAAGTTATTTCCACTGAACTGATTGTGTGAGCTGGATGGTTGATGAGCAAACAAACAGCAAAATTAAATTTTGAGTTTATGAGTGATGGCATGGGGTGTAGACAGCTGCGGTTCAATGTTACCATCGGATTCTCCGTTCATCATTAAGCAGTTCTTCCATTTCAAAATTTTGCCAAAATTTAAGCTGGACTTTTTCCTCGGGCCGATTTGAGAGACGGCTACTCCTTGCCAAGCCAACCTGGGATTTTCCTTACCTTCGCATGCTTTAGTTCAATATAGTTCATGCTGCGAGAGTACGCCGTGCCAAATTGTCGATACACAGATTTTGAAGGCGTACCTGCATATATATGGATTGAGATCCTCTGACTTCAAGTTAGAGAGGCGTGATCATTGACATGTGGATCCGATTGCCAGTGACAATGACTTCGACTACCATTAGATGACATGTTAACATCATCTTCCGCGAGCACATCGTCTCTGGCCATCATGTCCAAATGATTTCCTGCTGTTGGTTGAATGAATGTCAGCGGCTGCAACAATATTAACCATGTCAACAAATGTTTATCCAACAAATGGGATGCAAGTATAGAAGAATGTTAAGTTCTAATATGACCTCGAAAATCTGAAAAAACAACCCTTGTCAAGACATTCCGAAAATCTGAAACTTTTACGGCAGCTTCGGTTCTAACAAAAAAAAAAAAGGGAAGCTATTGCAGTAGTTCCGAATCAAAGGCACCATATCCCGTATCTTGAATTTAAGTAGACATATCCTATAATATTTCCATAACTACAGGCGGTTTCCCATTTAAGTGACTAAACAATAATCCATCTGCCACAAACATGCCAAATCTTGTTGCGTGCGCAGGATTTATAACCATTTACTAGATGTGTAGCCTCTTTAACGTATCATGTTTGGCTAGTGCTACATGAATAGAGACACCAAACGAACACATCATGAATTTAAATATAACGGAATTCCGCAACAGTATCAGTTAATCTGTATGATGATACATCGGTTGACACACCCCTTGTTCCTGGGTCACCACGGGGATCTTCTCGAACGAGAAGAGGGAGGACACCAGCTGAGCTCCAAGCTTTGGATACAGAATCACTTGCATCACCCAAAATCAATGAGGAAACTGCATCAAAACTGCATGCAGCAAGTCAAGATCTCGTGCAGCTGCACTGTCACTAGAAAGTTCACCCAAACATAAAAGGCTAACAGCTCCAAGATAGTGAAGAAGAGCTGCAACTATTGATGTCGTCATGGCAGCTGATGACCCAAGTCCAGTTTTGGCAACTTCAGGTTTGCTCCAGTCATTGTTCCATAATTCCATTAGCAACTTCTGAATTAAATGTAATTGGACAGAATGGAGGCAGCGAAAGCAATACTTCTGGTCTGGAGTTAGAGGGAGGCCACGTGCTTCAATCTGGAGAAACGGTGGAAAAAGACAAGTTAATTATTTAACAGCGGCACAATGCTCCAAAAGTGAGTTATATTCAGACATAAGTTAATCATGGAAAGAGAGTATATTTGCAGTTTATAAAACCATGCAACCCATCCGCATTGATTTTTAATTTTTATTTTTGCAGCTGGTTCATCCTTCACAGTTCCATTGAATATTTATTTGTGGACACAATAGAGGATATCATATCATGACCACACAGAGTACAATACAAAAACTTTTCAACTTTATAAAGTACATAAGAGAAAGGATAGACCTCAAAGCAATGCCATTACATTATAACCAATCGTGTTCAATTTATTGCAGTTACAGATAGGTGAAATGTAAACATTTGCCAATGGAATGATAATTCAATTAGCAGAGAATCTAACATCACCAGGTATCAGATATACAGAGAGAAAATACTTATTACAAAGCATAAAGCATATCTTCTCCCTTATGGTTCTGCCTGAGCCACCCCTTTTCAGTAAATTATCCGAGTAGTCATGAAAAATTACCAAAAGTTTTGTTCAGACATCTATCCAGGAAAAAAAAATCAGCTGAAAATTACTACAGATTGTCAGGAGGGAAAGAATAGAAGGCTTTTTCTTAAATCCTTAATTAGGCACTGGCAAGTGGCAACCGTGTTTGTTAGTGCTTTTCGTGGGATGCGAAGAAAATATATGTTCAAGATTAGGTGGTCAGCAAAGCTGAAAGAATCAACTAGGGCCACGTTCAGATTAAGTCACACTTCTTTGTTAAATTCTAACCTGGGATTGGTGAGTTAAGCTCTTGGCTAAAGGAAAGCAAATGCGTGACAACGCAAGCTAATTCAGAAAAGAAGCTTTACCTGTTCTCTATAGGAATAAAAAATCGTTGCAACCTACAAAAAATAGAGATGAGAATTTAACAACGATACGAAATCAAATTATAGCGTGGTATTCAAAATGATTCGGACAGGAGCAAAACTTGAGACTAAAATCGCAAAACCTTGCAAAAGCAAAGCTTGTCCAGTGCATCCTTCCCCTCTTTGTCAGCGACTGTCACTTCCGCAGCTGCCACCGAGAATTGCACTGTCTTGTTCCACAAAAGGGTTTGCAGATTCCCTGCAACATCAAGTCATTAACCACTATCACCAAACATGATTACATGAGGTCCAAGTCTCCAATGACAACTACAGAGCAGAGTTCTGCTGCGCAAATGGTACAATCCCAGCAAATGATCATGGACTACTTACCTTGAGGACGTCGATTTCTTCGGGGAGAGCTTGTAGGTGGCCTCCCGGGAGAGCTGAGGAGATGTCACTTTCACATTCGTCCACGCCTAGTAGCAATTTACCATATGGGACAGGTACCACACAGAGTAAGGATTAGTTCTCCCTGATGGTGATGGCTACTAAATTGTGTGAGAAATAATCTGGGGTTTCGGGGGCTCACCCATGCCCAGGATTCGTCGTGGGTGAGCTGGTCGCGGGGCGGGAGGACGACGGCGTAGAAGCGAGCGGTGGTGATGAGGACGAGGCCGGCGTTGGGGCGCTCCAGCACCTAGGAAACCTCCCGCGACGAGCACCTTCCCCGGCGCCGACGCCGACGCCGCCCCCCTGCCCTGCCCTGCCACAGGGATCGGTCGAACGGTCAGACCTGGATCGAGGGCTAGGCAATCGAGGTCAAGTAGAGAAAGAGAAACACTCACACTTCCATTCTCGGCTTCGGCGGCGAGGGGGGACGCGATCCGGAGCTCACGGCCGGCGGCGGGAAATGCCGGGTAGCGCGCGCGGCGCGGCGCAAGCACGACGACGCACGCCGCCTTTCGAGGTCGCTCCGCTTACGGCGGGGCGGGGCATAGGAAGCGAGGGGCATCGCGAGCGCGCGGGCGCACGCGGTGGCCGGGGGGAAGGACGACGACGGCGGCGGCGGCGCCGGCGGCGAGATGGCCTTTTGCAGTTACGCGGGCTCGAGGACTGGGCTTGGTGAAATGGCCTCCTGGGCCATGAGGCCCGCTACTCTTAGCTTCAATATAAAAATTTTATCCTCTTTTTTGTTTCTTTTTTGTTTAGGACAAAAGGATTCCTCCGTTTCCATTCATGAAGGATTCGAATTTTATCCTAAAATATAAGGAATTTGCATGTCTAACGTGTACTCCTGATGACTCTTTATATATATAACGACTTTGTAGATATTAACATGCATGTCGTGTTTAGGCGCATTTAGATTTTAGGGCCTGTTCACTTTGCTGCCAAAAAAAACCTTACCAAAAATGTTGGCAAGATTTCTTATATAGTTACCAAAATTTGGCAACAAACTAAATGTAGCCACTTTTTTTAGCAACTTTACTAAAATTTAGTAAGGTTGAAAATGGCACCAAAGTGAACAGGCCTTTAGAACACATGATGAGTATAGCACGATCTAGTTTCTATGTGCACAAAATTACTTTAAATAAAAATCATATGCTACACATGGTGTAAACCGTCTTTATTCTCCCAGTCTTGTTTGGCACTCGGAAAAAAAAAGGAATTGGCTGATGTTTTCCCTCGTTATGCATGCTCACACACTTTTATATCCTGTGCGAATGCAAAAAATCATGCTTGAAGTGTTTATACTTTATAGTGATAAAAACAAATTTTAAAAATTAATTAATTAATCTTTTAAGTATAACAAATAGTTAAATGTGTCTCTAAAATTAACGATGTCAATTATTTATTAGTAGTACTATGCAACATATCGTACCATCCAATATATAAACCACTCCAATAGTAAATCTTTTGGACCAGATATTAATTTCAAGGTCATGTGGAGGTTTAATTGCATATATGCTAGTACTATAGAAATCTAAGCATTAGATCTGGGGTTGCTAACCAATCCAATTAACAAAAGACAGCCATTTTGCTGGCTAATTCTCCTGCAGCACGTGCCCAACACCGAACCCGACATCCCATTTACTTTTAAGCAATTTTCACAAAACTCATATATTATACTCCCTTCGTCCTAAATTACAATGTATAAATTTTTACACATGTTTTAATGACATACTTTAACCAATAATTTATTATATTTTATATTCCTAGCAGATATAAAATTAACATCACATTAAAGCACTTTAAAATATGAATCTAGTTTTTTACTGAAAGTTAAACTATGAATCTAGTGATATAACATACATAATATTTAGCATAAATATATGGTTAATATGCTTATTAGTCAAAAACTACCAAGTTTGATCTTCCTAAAAAGAAATAGGACATCCTATAATTTAGGATGGAGGGAGTAGTCCAATTTGTTTTATAACCATTATAACCTTATAGAGTCATAAACCACAACATTAAACATTTTTTCTTTGACTAGTAAGGTGCCCGTGCGTTGCAACGGGAAATGCTATATATCAATTTCAAATTATATTAAGTGAAAAGATATTAAATAATCATTGAGTGAAAATTTATTGAACACGGAAAAAAAATCTGGCAATCCAAAAAAACTACAAATCATAATTGTTCTATAGATTACTTTCAAAGCAAGAAATATGTTATCATTATAGAAGTATAGTGCAAACTTTCTGCCACATATATAAAACAATCTCATGGTGTTTATTAAATTATAAAAAGACAACATAGATAGAAGACTTTCTTATGGATGATCACCTCAAAATTAAATTACTACATATAGGTAAATAACTATTCTAATGTTGTGCACTTGCGATACACTTAAAAAATCCCGTGCACCGCTAGGGTGTTGCTTTCACACTCATTTTGTTGGTACATCAGTAGATTTAGCAAAAAAAAAATTGCCTTAGCTCGTCACCATCCTGGACATGTTAAATATTTATAATTATAAAATATAGTTACAAGCCCGCGCTAGCGCTATGGTGACGATTTATATCGTAAATGAAACAATCATAAGATTGGCTATTAAGTATGTCGACGTTTGATGTCACGACTACAGTATTTGGACAGTATGGGGATCGTTGGTGCTAGGATATATGCGAGACTGAGGTAAAAGAGATGGTGACAGGGATTTTTATACAGGTTCAGGCCCCTGAGCTATCAGGTAATAGCCCTACATCCTGTTGGCCGGAGCCGATGTTGCTTTTTATTCACCATAATCACACCAATACAATATGTGGGGTAGCCTATCTAACTATTGTCGACATGGCGGTCTGAAGGTCTGACTCGTAGTTGACAACAGGGTAGCCTTCCTCCTCGAGCTCGTGCCCGACGGAATCAGAGACAGTGCTAGATCCCTACGGCCGGCCTCTGAAGGTACCGGATAGGGTCGATCCAGGCGTATCTCTGATGTCGATATCCGACGGCTTGTCTTGGCGTATGTAGGCTTCTATGTTGATTGAGGTGGCCGTGTCTCTTCCCTTCCTAGGGGGTCTTGTATTTATACCCATAGATGTTCCATTATCCAAGTAGAACTAGGGAAACCAATATGGATACAATCCGAGTAGTCCTTGTCGTTTCCATGTAGAACTCTGGTTGTCTTTCCTTACCGGAACTCCTCCTATATCTGAAGGTTGTTTCCGTATAGGACATGATATGTGGTGGGTCCTGCCGAGATTTAGTCAACTTCTATTAAGTATGTGGTATCCATAACCATGACAAAGTATATATTCAAGACATTAATTAAGACTTAAGTATCAGATAGTTCAAGCAGGCAGGTTTAATGAGCTGAGTACAGAAGCTCTTTGTCAAAATATAATATAATACGCAATTCTTTTAAAGAATAGACCACGCTAAACTTATTGCAATAAGTTTCGGTCCATTTTTGCAATAAGATTTTAGCACGATCTATTCTTCAAATAAAATTTTCAAAATGGTCAAATTGTCAAAATTTCAGAAAATACTCTTTGTCACAATATAATGCAATATGCAATTCTTTATACCATAAATACTGCTTAAACAGACAAAACGCTAATTTTAGCGAAGTTACATTAAGAAGGTTTTCACTTCACGTCAGACCAGCACAAAGAGCCTATTACAAGGTCCTTAGTTTTACTATAGTGTAATAAACCAGCAGCCAAAGAAACTACATCCAAGACAAGGTCCATGATTCAGTCGACGATGTTTTATCAACTCCATGTTATGCTTGATGTCTTCAGCGTCTTTCTCCCACGTCTCACGCCAGTAACCAAAGAACGAAAGTCTGAACCAATTTCAGGACACATCCAATCAATTTGTTCGAATACATAATTCATGGCTTTTCAACGTTAATTAAAGCATCACATTCATATATCAGTACATGACATGGCAAACCACAAAGCCAAGGTTGCCATAATCTAAGCTACGACCAAATTACAGAAATCTTTGCATTTGCGAATAAATGACCAAGAGAGAATAGATTAAATCGCATGCACTATTTCAGACACGTTTGGTATTCACTTCCAAATATGAGAGTATGTACTAAACCTTAGGAGATATATGATTGCGTCCATATTCTAATACAGAAGTATATGATACTTGCTTCAGATAAAATCTGACAAGGAGAACAAAAGTTCAAACTCGTCATAAAAAAATGTGTGCGTGTTGAGAAGTAAAATTATAAAGGTACCATTTTGCCATCGTTCTGAAGGAGCTAACTCTGTTATTGAATATCTGATCCTTTTTTTCATAAACTCACTAATACGTATGAGCTAGCTTTGATTGATCATCATCAGCTAGAAGTGAAATTGTAAGTCAATAGTGAAGATAAATGATGGTTTAGAGAGAGAGAGAGAGAGAGAGAGAGAGAGAGGGAGAGAGAGAGGGAGGGAGGGAGAGAGAGAGAGAGAGAGAGAGAGAGAGAGAGAGAGAGAGAGAGAGGGGAGAGGGTGGGGTGGGGAAGGGGGATGAACTCACCAAAATATCCCAACTGCATACAACCATCAAGGGTCACGCATTCGTGTGTGATAGAGAGCTAGCTAAAGGGCTGGCACAGGCAACAAAATCAAGGCAGCAAGTGCCAGAATAATGGGACATGATCACATTCAACGACAAGAAATATATAGTATTTTCCGAGAATTGCCCATCCTCTGCTAGAAAAATTCCCATGTTGAGCTATTTTGATCTGAATCCAAAGAAACTATTAATCAAAAAAGAGAAGGTGCAGATTTGCAGTTCACTGGGTACAAAAGTTAGATGCACCTCTTTAACATTTAGCAGATTGCTCTCGACATATGACAACAACTTCCCAGTCAATTGAGCTATTGTCCTTTAGACCCTCAAACAGCTCCTCCTTTTGTGTATATATGCCTTCATTATATATATGTCTGAAAAAAACCAAACAAAAGGGGGAAATTTATGAACATCCCTGCTAGTTGGTTATTTTACAAGGCATTGGAAAAAATAAGAAAAAAAATATGATCTACTCCATAGTAATGACACCCTGAAACAAACAGATACAAGAACACCAATAACCGAGCACATGGGAAATCCTAATAATTAAATTGACAACACAAAAAAGAAACTACCAAGACCACAGGCAGCAAGCATGACTTGGAGTGAAGAAAGCTGCTAACAACATAGGGCAGGCTCCCATCTGCCACCAGCCGGCTCAGATTGCACCAGCAGCAAGCATGTTGGAGTATGCAGCAACAATCATGAAGCAGGATAGGCTTAGTTGGTGATCTTGGGGTTGGTGTGGTTGTTCATCTTGAGCTGAACAATACAACCATAAAATGTTAGTCCTACTGCTAGGTATGAAAACTCAGTTCAAATTTTTAAGAAGGTATCAGATCTATCACAACTGAGGGTTATTAATAGTAGAAAATGTAAGCAGTGTCAACTGTAGAGCAGATTTACAACATATTAATTCTTGGGCTAGCTTTAACATATGTTATGCAGATTTACAGAGATGTAGTTCACTAATTAATAACCTGCAAATTTTTGTATTTGTGCAATGGCCATCTATGAGAATTTCAGGATCGATATATCACGAACATTGCTTACATAATCTTCACTGCATCGTTCCATTTTTTATTTTCATCCACTCTGAAACAATCAAGGACCAGATTAGTTTTGAGACTGCAAGATCCAAATTAGTTTGCTCCAACATATAATTTGAATCTTTCTGCTTGGTAGCAACACTCTCAACTTCCCAGCAGTTCATAGCCCTAGAGTCTATACATAGTAATTGGATATTTCATTACATTAGCATAAATAACAACAGAGAGAATCCTGCAATCATTAGTATAAATAACAACATAGGGGACATGACAATATGACATTCTCACTTACAGAGAAATCAATTTCTGGTAATACATTGGCTAAGCAGCATTTCGTTGAACACCTTTTGGGCAAAAAAGAGCATTAGTGATCCTGCAATCTGTAATAACCCTCGACACTCACAGTGATGATTCTTGACAAATGAATGGGTTGCAACGTAAAGAGAACGAACCAATTAACCATGCGTCCCTTCTCCGGCAGAAGTTCTGCCGGAGGGATCGTGCTCGGATGGTACCGGGGGCATGGAGCGCTGGAGGCGGGCACAGGTGTCACCTCTCCCATGGAGCGGGCGAGGCGGCTGGGAAGCAGATTGGCGAACCTCGCCCTTGGCACCGACCTGGGCGAGGGGCGAGTGAGGGATCGGCGGCGGCGTTGATCTGGGCAAGGACGAACAACCCCGTCGCACCTTGCACTTCATTCTCTCCCTCAACGCCTGGTAGTGTCACCGCGCGCAGCCGTCGTTGGAGTGAGGTCTTCAACATCTCCCATCTGTCGGCTGTTGTGGCGTCGATGCAGGGTCAGCGTCCGGTCCCCAATCGGCGGGGTGTCGGGCGACGAGCGGTGGCGACGAGCGTGTGACCTTGAGAGGCGGAGGCGTGCGATGGCGATCTGCAGTGGATGGATGGAAGCGGGGGTGCGGCCGACGGCGAGACGCGGCGGATGGATGGAGGCGGTGCCGGGGGGGGGAGTGTTGGGGCGATAGGGCGGGAGGGACCGGGAGAGCAGGCGGCAGAGGAGGAATGGATCGGTGGTGCGACCGGCGGCGAGACGCGGCGGATGGATGGAGGCAGTGCCGGCGGGGAGGAGTGCGATAGGAGGAGCGGCGATGTCGACCCGCGACGACGGCGGCGTCGATTCGGGCGAGCAGGAGTGGCGGTCGGTGAAGGCGTGGTGGGGGCGCGGCGAAGGATGAGGGGAGCGGCGTCGACGGTTGGATAGCGAGCGCGATCCGGCCTGTGGGGGAGAAAAGTGTGATTCGCGGAGGGGAGGAGTGCGTGCGATGGGATCCTCAGCACCGTCCGATCTGCCAATCCCACGGTTAATAAGTCGCGTGTCTGCTAGGGTTGGAGTGACTGTCACCACTACAGAATTTTAAAAAGTAGTAGAGATACACCATGCATGCATATGATATCCTGCAAATTATATCCAAAACATATGTTTTATTAATTCAACCGTAGTAATTTTAAGTTATTGTTTTTTATTTTTTACAAAATTAAGATATGGTTAACATTGTGGTTCTATAAAACCTTATGACCAAAATACCCATGATTATACGAACATGCCTAACCTCCTATGTAGGGATGGTAATTGTGCCCGTTTGCCCGTTTATCCGTGGGTAAAAACCCTATTAGGGTTGGTTTTGTTCGCTATTTTATACCCATGGGTTTTTTATTGGGTCAAAGGCTATGTCCGATGGGTAAATGGGCATAGGTATTGTCAGGGTTACGGATAGGGTATACCCTCTACCCTTAGATATACGTTGTATACTGATACGGTATACCCGCGCGTATACGGATATTTCCCGTGTACATTAAGGAAATTCATCACAAGATAGATGCGGAATCCACAGATAGAAGGAGTCCTACTCGGACAGAACTGGGTCGTTCCTGTATCGTGTGGGGTCCGATGTCTCCGAGTTCTACTTAGAGACCAACTGACCTGCGGTATAAAAGTGACCCCCCGGGAGGACCTAAGGCATTGAATCTTACTGCCAACACATCCACCACAGCCTACGAAGTCGGAGCCTACAAGAGCCAAGTTGCCGGGTGATCTAGTCGAACCAACTCGACTACGGTCTCGTCGGTATCATCGAGTTCTGCTATTCCATTTGTAATCTGTGGATTCCATTATATAATCCCATATCAACTGGATTAGGGCTATTACCTATTAAGGAGCCTGAACCAGTATAATCCTTGTTTCCTGTTTGCTTGATGTCGTACTACGTAGATCCTCGTACCAGCGTACCCCAATACCCTCTATATCCGGTCTACGGGTATCCCCCGTCGACAGGTATGGGTAACACTACGTATGCCCGCTTTGCCCATTTACCCGTGAAATCTAACTTATATTGTAGGCTAGAAGCAAAATCCACTAGAATACATCACTACTACAAAATCAATTTTTCATGGCGTCACTCTATTTTTTTCTCTGGCGGCCATACGCATAAACCGCCATTAAAAATATATTGAGGGGTGAGGGGCTAAGTACCACCAGCGAAAATAGATTTTCACTAGCGGCCGAGTTAACTTAAAATCGCTCCCAACCTCACACTTCTCCCCAACCTTATCCGCTCCTCTCCCATCCCCATCCCATCGCTCCTACCCATCTCTGTCTCCGTGAGCCCTTCCTCCTCCGCTCCTCTCCTTTCCGCCGCCGCCACCGCGCGCTCTTCCTCCTCCGCTCCTCTCTCGCCCACCACCGCGCGCCCTTTCCTCCTCCGCTCCACTCCCACCCGTCGCCGCCACCGCGTGCCCTTCCTCCTGCACTCCGCTCCCACCCGCCACCACCGCGCGCCGTCGACACTCGGCGACCACGACGACGACGCCGGCCGAGAGAGCGGATCCACCGCCAACTCAGGATCCGGAGGCTCCTCCCCTCCCTCTGTACCCTCTCCTTCTCCCAGATCTAGCTGGAAGGGAGTGGTTGGCGCAGAGGAGGTGATGACGCGGTGGAGGAAGAGGATGAAGGGGAGGCGCGGTGGAGGAAAGGGTGGGGTGTGCCGATCAGCGACGGGGGTACACGAGAGCTCTGGATCTGTCGGGCGGCGGCGGTGCTCGGCAGTGCACGGGTGTCAGCGGTGGTCGGCGGTGCACGGGCGGAGAGACGTGCGAGCAGCAGAGCTCGGTTGCGGGAGGCAGATGGCGGATCCGGCGGCGACTCGTTCAAGTCCTGCATTGGCAAGTTCTCCATCGGCAAGCCATTAGGCAATCCGGCAGCCCCAAGTCCTCGGATCGACGACGGCGTGGAGCTCCTTCCTCCGTGACGAGCTGCCGCCGTGGAGCTCCGTCCTCCACCGCCGTGGAGCTCCTTCCTTCGCATCGAGCCGCTGCCGGGAGCTCGGAGCCTTGGGTTCAGCAACCGCTGCTGTTCTTCTCGTGGTGAGGCAATGGGTGATGCATGCTGGGATTGAAACATTTTTTTTGTTCCGCAGGATCGACAGCATGGTTGGCAAAATTAATTTTGATTTTTGTGATGGTGAAATTGCACTGTGAGGCCAACATATTTGAATCGATGCTTGAATTTGTGATTGTGGACTTGTATTTGTGATTTGGTGAGAAGAAGAGGATGCTTGAATTTGTAATTGAGGGCATATCTGAATCGGTTTGAATTTGAGTTTTTGTATTTTTGCACCGGAGAATATTTTCGCAGGCGATCCTCTTAAGAATGCGCCTGTGAAAATTGGTTTTCGCAGGCGGCCTTCTTAAGAACGCGCTTGCGAAAAATTGATTTTCGTAGGCGGCTCTTTTAATAACGCCCTTAAAAAATTGGTTTTCGCAGGTGGCCCTCTTAAGAACGCGCTTGCAAAAATTGATTTTCGCAAGCGGTATTATGACCGCTTGTGAAAACCAATGATTCTCTGGCCTTTACTTACTGGCGGGGCTGCTCAGCCGCCAGCACAAACCTCTTTTTACCGCCAGCATAAATGTTTTTTTAAGTAGTGCATAAGCTACGTTCTTTGTTTTATGTGGTTTTCTTTTTATTTCCCTTATTATTTTTCTCCCACTTCCTCTATCACCGCCAGAGGAGAGACCCCACACCAAGGCAGAGAATATTTAATGTTTTCAGTTCGATTCAAACTTAGAAGCTTGTAGACTTTTGTTTCACTGATTTTGTTGTAGCCGGTAAACGGGCACGCCCGCGAGCGATGGGCATGGGCAACAATCTTTGCCCGTCATGTAGTAACGGGCATACCTACGGGCAAGGGTATGGGTAGGCACTGCCCGTGCCCGTCGCACCCGATTGCCATCCCTACTCCTATGGTTTTTTGCAACTTAAGGTTTGTTTGTATGACTACCGTCAAGTGTTGGGTAGTACCAAATTAAACATAGGCAAGTTTGGCACTACCAATTGTTTGATTGGGTAATTTTGTATTTAGTTTATAGTGAAGAAAGTTCTAGACTGCTACCAAAATTAGTATGGGTGCTACCAAAAGTATTGGCTTCAATCCAAATTAACCAATAGTAGAACAAATTTTGGTAGCAATTCAAAACTGCCCTTAAAGCATAATACTGGGGTTTTGTAAAAATTATTTATTTCTTATTTTCACCCTCGACTTAACAAGAAATAACGAAGCGGTGACGATAACAAGTCAAACAGGATAGCAATTTGCTTAGCTTGGTGTGGCCCAGTAGTTTAGTTTGGAGTTGAAACGATGATAGCGAAGTGTAAAAGGCGGTTTGGATTTCTCGGATTTTCCTTCTGTGCAGCTTAGCCCTTTTAATTAGAACAGGTCAAGCAAAACTTTGAGCCTTTCGTTCTGTGAGACTGATAGACTACGACCCTGTTTGGATCAGGGCACATCGAATGCTTAACACTAATTAAAAATATTAAACATATACTAATGATAAAACCCAGGACTAATTCGCGAGACGAATCTATTAAGCCTAATTAATCTATGATTAGCCTATGTAATACTACAGTAAACATGTGTTGGCTATGGATTAATTAGGCTTAAAAAATTTATCTCGCGAATTAGCTCTCATTTATATAATTTTATTATTATACTTCTAATTAGTATTTAAACATTCGATGTGACAGCGACTAAAATTTAATTCCTAGATCCAAACACCACCTAACTACGCCATGATTTGGATTTCATGACATGCACCAAGGACACACATTGGTGGATCCATGTACATGATTCCGCACGTGTAGAAACTATAGAACAGATTTTCTGAGCTAAACGTAGCATCCATGATTTTCACATATATAGACCAGCAAGTTAATGTTACTTGTCAATTTCATGAAACTTCAATACCAGTTATTATGATTCTTTTGCTAATTTATTTTTGAGATAATCCAAGAAATATCATTGACAAACATCCAAATCCAAGAAATATCATTGACAAGTGTAAGTTTTAAGATATGCTATCGTACAAACGACTTTGTCTAAAAATGCCATCGCCGTTAGGTTCCGTTCATTCCGCGCCGTTAAATACTATAGGATGAACAATGCATTTAACGACGTGGATTGGATGGAACCCTAACGGTGATGGTATTTTTAGGATAAAGTCGTATGTACGATGGTATTTTTTGGAACTCACACTTGTCGATGACGTTTTCTAGATTTGGACGCTTGTTAATTATATTTCTTTATTAATTTATAAAACCAATAATCTGGGATGATGGCGTGGGTCCCTTCCTCTTCCCCTTCAGATGTTGATTCAATCTTCCACTTCCCCTTTATACGTTGATTCAGCAGTAACATTTTATGATTTAATTTCTGTGATTTGTTTTTAGTTTTTGGAGGCTGCGTTTGTTTCAGCCTGTTACTAATCTCTCTCCCTCGTTTTCCACGTACATGATTTTCAAACCGCTAAACAGTGTATTTTTTAAAAAAAAGTTTCTATACGAAGATTGCTTAAAAAATCAAATTAATCTATTTTTAAAAAAATAGTAATACTTAATTAATCACGCGCCAAAGAACTAGTCTGTTTTCCGTACAGAGGAGATGGGTTACTAACCCAGTAACGAACACAGCCTAAGACTTGAATGGAGTGTGTAGACCGGATGATGGGGGTCGGCGCCATGCAAATTGGCTCCAAAGTTTAAGAGCAAGGATAACAATAGATCTGACGGCTTATTATTAGCCAATCTTAAAACCAATATATATAATAGATTAGCTATAAGATTGGCTACAATTTTCTTCTCCCATCTCTATCTTTTACTTATACATTTATTGTATTTGTCTTGGAGTTTGTGTTAAGCTAGCTCTTGCATTAGAGCCAACACCTTTGATTTTTT